TAATCCTTATACCAAATTTATGATTGTATATATTGATGATATTCTTATCTATTCTGAAACTATAGATCAACACTGGAAACATCTAAACACATTTTTTAAAGCTGTTAAAAATATTGTAGCTGCATCAGCAAAAAAGATAAATCTGTTTAAAACAAAAATAAGGTTTCTTGGACATAATATTTATCAAGGGAGAATAATTCCTATTGATAGGGCGATTGAATTTGCATCAAAATTCTCAGATATTATTAAAGACAAAACCGAACTTCAACGATTTCTCGGTTGCCTGAATTATATCGCTGATTTTTATAAAAAACTTGCTTTAGACGCTAAGCCTTTGTTTCAAAGGTTAAAAAAGAACCTTCTTGATTGGACTAACGAGCATACCATGGCAGTCAGATAATTAAAATTGAAAGCCAAAGAACTGCCTTGCTTAGCATTATCTAATCCTACAGCGTTTAAAATTGTTGAAACTGACGATTCGGAACAAGGACTAGGTGGCATACTCAAACAAAACTTTCAGGAGCAAGAACAATTCGTGCGTTTTACTTCCAAAACCTGGAATCCTGCCCAACAGAACTATTCCACGATTAAAAAAGAAATATTGGCTATCGTTCATTGAGTGACTAAATTCCAGAGTGACTTACTAAACCAAAATTTTCTTATTCGTACTGATTGTAAGGCAGCCAAAGATTTTCTTGAAAAAGACAAAATCTAGTCTCAAAACAAATTTTTGCCCGATGGCAAGGTTTCCTTTCATTGTTCGAATTTACAATTGAACACATTAATGGTAAAAATAACCATCTCCCAAACTTTTTGACCCAAGAATTTTTACAAGGAGGACAAGAAAATGCAAAATCATCCGATGGATATAGTTCTCAACCCGGGTAAAAGCCTGGCTCCGCATAGTCATCCAACAAATATAGTTCTCAACTCAAGAAAAGGCCTAGCTTCACCATCAACTCCAAGAGCTTTAATAAGAAAGCAAAAGATTGATATATCTTCCCGACAATCCCCTTTAAACACTAATAGAACTCCGTTTCTGGGAACAACATATATACCACTCATAATTGTTGAGAATGATCACAATTGTTGAGAATGATCACAGGGGAAAAGACCCTACTGAAATAACAGCAATATATTTACGAAATCACCTTCAACCCAATATGGGAGAAAAATGCAGAAAATGGTATGAAGTCATACTCATGGAAACATGATCTGTGACAATAGTACAACACTATAGAAATAATGACACAGAGATTGCATACTCAAAACTCCAAATTCATAAAATCATCTCCTATAGAGATTGGGGATTAGATCCTTTAAAATCAACGATGTTAAATACTCGAGGATTTAAAATTAAATCCTACCATTATTTCAAATATATCAAAGGCTTGGGATGAAGTCTTTGCCTACCAAAATACCAAAACTTCGCATAGTTGGTATGTACAATTTAAAATAACTGAACTAATGGAATTTCCTAACTGGTTAAAAAGTTGGTTCCTGTTATAGGGATCATACAGCCAGATACTTCCCCAATAAATGCAGATATCACAGAGAAAATTCTCTTACAATAAACATTGTCTAAAAAGAGACTATTATTTATACTTTATGGCCTTATATCAGGCCCCTTGGATTACTAAAATGGATATATCAACTCTTCGAAGATGATATGGACCGATGGGATTATATCCCACAATTACGCCGATAAATATTAGTAAAATGGTGAGACAGTTACAAAAATAACTCCCGGGACCCAGAGAAAATTTATATGAAGATAATACCATCCTCCTCGCCAAGTTCAAACATGGATATAACAGAATACGTCACAATGATGCAACAAAAGAATCCCAAATTATCAAAAGCAAAGCTTAAAAGAAAGCTGCTTTTAGCACTAGAAGAAGATGTAGATATACAGACCCACCAACAAAAGAAGAACAAGAAGAAATCGAAGATTACAGTCCACTCAATGGTGATAACTATGCAGCAATAAATTTTTCCCCGATGAATTAAAAGAAAAATTAATAGGGACGGTACGACTCCAAATTCACCCAAGACACGTGTCTCTAAAGCTAGCAGCGAAAGATAAGAGCATTATTACTACTGACAAATTTTCAGCAAAAAGAAGAGCATTATTGCTACTGACAAAATTGTTTACTGTAGGGAATCTTGCTTTTCCCAAAAGGTGACAGTTTCACTGTAGGAAATCTTGTTTTTTCCCAAAAAGATGTCGATGCGGACTTAAAACATTTTGAAGTCCGACTCCTTCCTTTATATAAGAGAAGCTGAGAAGAAGAGGAAGGCATATGAACACAGGCCAAGAGTTTTCTCGAGTGCTTGGTTTGTTTGAGTGTTTGTTTGTAAAAGTTTGTCTGAGTGTTTGTTTTGAGTTCGTTTGAGTGCTTGTTTTGAGGCTGTCTGGGTGCTTGGTTTGAGCAGAAGTAAACCATACCCCGTTGGTGCATCAAGCGTACCCTATCTGTATCAAGCCTACCATGTAAGCTTGTTATTGTTTAGTTTAAGATATTTGTTGCTATTGTTATTTAATTAAAGGTGTCATGTTATTATGTTTTAGATATTTGTTGTTGTTGTTATTTAATGAAAGATGTTTTGTGACTATTAATATTTAGTCTCATTGTTATATATCTGATGATCTTAATTCTGCTATCATTCCGTTGTTCTGGTATCAAAACAGAAGAATTAAACATAATAACATAACATTAACAATAGCAACAAATATCTTAAACTAAACAATAAGAAGCTTACATGGTAGGCATGATACAGATAGGGTAAGCTTGACGTGCCAACAGGGTATGGTTTACTTCTGCTCAAGCCAAGCACTCAAACAGCCTCAAAACAAGCACTCAGACGAACTCAAAACAAACACTCAGACAAACTCTTACAAACAAACACTCAAACGAACCAAGCACTCAAGAAAACTCTCCGCCTGTTTTCAGATGCCTTCCTCTTCTTCTCTGCTTCTCTTATATAGGGGAAGGAATCGGACTTCAAAATGTTTTAAGTCTGCACCGACATCTTTTTGGGAAAAAACAAGATTCCCTACAGTGAACCTGACACCTTTTGAGAAAAGCAAGATTCCCTACAGTAAACAGTTTTGTCGGTAGCAATAATGCTCTTCTTTTGGCTGAAAATTTGTAAGTAGTAATAATGCTCTTATCTTTCGCTACTAGCTTTAGGGACATGTGTCCTGGGTGAATTTAAAGTCGTGCCGTCCCCATTAATTTTTCTTTTAATTCATCAGGGAAAAATTTATCCCTGCACAGTCATCACCATTGAGTGGACTATAATCTTCAATTTCTTCTTCTTCTTTTGTTGGTGTGGTCTGTATATCCACATCTTCTTCTAGTGCTAAAAGCGGCTTTCTTTTAAGCTCTGTTTTTTATAATTTGGGATTCTTTTATTGCATTATTGTGACGTATTATGTTATATCCATGTTTAAACTAGGCGAAAATGATGGTATTATCTTTATATAAATTTTCTCTGGGTCCAGGTAGTTATTTTTGTAACTGTCCCACCATTTTACTGATATTTGTCGACATAATTGCGGGATATAATCCCACCGGTCCATATCATCTTCGGAGAATTGATATGTCCATTTTAGTATCCAAAGGACCTGATATAAGGCCATGAAGTATAAATGATAGTCTCTTTTTAAACAATGTTTATTGTAGTCAGAGAATTTTCTCTGTGATATCTGCATGAGGAAGTATCTGGCTGCATGATCCCTATAACAGGAACCAACTTTTTAACCAGTTAGGGAATTCCATGAGTTCAGTTATTTCAAACTGCATATACCAACTATACGAAGTTTTGGTATTTTGATAGGCAAAGACTTCATCCTAAGC